GTTTTACATGACACAAACTACTATCAGAAATTATTCTAGTGCTAAGAATATATTTCTAGTTGTTTTACATAACACAAATTAATATCAGAATTATTCTAGTGATAAGAATATATTCTAGCTGTTTTATGTGGGGGATTTTATCTGTAAACGTTATTTTTGAGCCTTTAAATTATTATCCATACATTATCGAAAACATTGGTAAATCTTCCACCTTCCTTCCGTTGACATTCCTCAAAACTTCCTTACTCTCTTCCACCTTCCTTTCTTCTCTCCCTACAACTCTTTTCCACCTTCCTTTCTTCCCTCCCTACAACTCTCTTCCACCTTCCTTTCGTCCCTCCCACAACTCTCTTCCACCTTCCTTTCTTCCCTCCCTACAACTCTTTTCCACCTTCCTTTCTTCCCCCTACAAGTCACTTTCACCTTCTTTTCTTCCTCCCCTACAACTCTCTTCCACCTTCTTTCTTCCCTCCCTACAACTCTCTTCCACCTTCCTTTCTTCCTTCCCTACAACTCTCTTCCACCTTCCTTTCTTCCTCCCTACAACTCTCTTCCACCTTCCTTCCCTCCCCACACCTTCCTTCCTTTCTTCCTCCCTACAACTCTCTTCCACCTTCCTTTCTTCTCCCTCCCTACACCTTCTTTCTTCCCGCCCTACAATTCTCTTACGTCTTCCTTTCTTCCCTCCCTACAATTCTCATCCACCTTCCTTTCTTCCCTCCCTACAACTCTCTTCCACCTTCCTTTCTTCCCCCTACAACTCTCTTCCACCTTCCCTTCTTCCAACATCCTCGCATCATCAACAATTATGTAGTCTCTTGGGAGCTATCTAAAAGAAAACATTATCGTATCGTATTCCATAACACTGAAAACATATTCCACGTCTTTCAAAAATATTTGATTTCTTAATCACATCACAAGCATAACGATGAACGAAGTTGCAAGCACAAACGTACATGGAAATTATACCTATCGTGAACTTGCACAGTGCTAACAAGTCATATAAAGTCTAGGCGTCAACACTATGGCGACAACTTTCATTCAATACCGATTTGCATCAATCACTGTGAGAAATTTGTCCTTGTGTTTCCAAAATGTGAATACGTCCAAAGGAGCCACATTCCATCACAGTTTTAAGTGCATTCTGATCACTGTGTCCTTGTCTTTCCCAACAGAATGAAGCCTTCTGTATGTTCAACACAGCTTTGTCCACTTGAACTATTGCTAGCTCACACGGCAGAAAAGTCCAGAACTGAACTTGTGACCTGACCAGGCAGGAGAGATTAAATACATATTTACAGGAACCAAGGAAGTTACAGCTGTTATCGATGATATATACACAAAGAACTTAGTTAAGCACGCCCTTGAGATATCTCACGATTGAATGAGCTCCGATCTTAACCCTTTGGAGCATATCTGGGACATGATTAGTCGTCGTGTGCAAGAAAACTTAAGGGATCATCCTGTACATAACCTGGCCCAATTGGAAGCTGCTTTACACGAGGAATGGCGTAGACTGCCCTTTCAGAGGACCAGGAGGCTGACATAGGGTATGAGGAGAGTGCAGGCTGTCGTACAGTCAAATTGAGGTTACTACTGACCTTGAATCGTGAAGACATGTACAATAATATTTTGAATGTTCACATTCACTAATAAATTTATCATTAAGCATTCCAATGCCGTACTTGTAGAGATCTGGTTTTGTATGAAAATCAGTGGGGTTTTTTTTAAATGAGCAATTATTATCATAAATCAACATGGATTCCAATCATGTTGTCGTTTTTTATGAGTCAAAGGATTATACGGGTCACCACGAGAAGTTTTATGTACGTGTTGAAAACCTTTCATTGCAAAAATACAGGGAGTGCTTAATTAAGTTCTTTGTGTACATATTCATTTTGAAATGGCATAGTACAAACCAACAACAAAGTGAAGGAAAACTGATTTCTATGGATAGTCAACTTCTTTATTGCAATGAGTGAGACGTTTCGGTGTAGGTACTAACACCGTTATCAGGCAAGTGATACAACAACTGAGGTAAGGAGAATATATACATAGCTGTATAGTGAGTATATAGAATTAACAAGGTTGATGTACATTGGGTATTTGATAAGTGATTACAGCATAGGAGGTTGATGTACAGAGTGATTGGTTGTGATTAGAATAAAGTTTATACAATTGATGAGTTGAGGTACAATAGTTGTGATTACAAGCACAAAGGAGGGAGCATGGAAACCCGATGGACAAAGGAGGTAGGGAAGGATTACTGGTGGTGGTGTTTGATTAGGTGGTGATAGGCTGACGAGATGAAATAACCTTGATCACGATTCAAGGTGGGGTTGTGGCGTTGGATGTTTATGGCTTCAAGGAGTTTCCTAATTTTGTAGTCTTGTCTGTTGATTTCTAGGATATCGATGTTGTTCCATAGGATGGCATGGTCAGGGTTGGCTTGGGTGTGGTCAGCTATGGCGGATTTGGAGTCGTTTTTCTGGACTGAGGCTTTATGTTTAGACTCCAAATCCGCCATAGCTGACCACACCCAAGCCAACCCTGACCATGCCATCCTATGGAACAACATCTGTACATCAACCTCCTATGCTGTAATCACTTATCAAATACCCAATGTACATCAACCTTGTTAATTGTATATACTCACTATACAGCTATGTATATATTCTCCTTACCTCAGTTGTTGTATCACTTGCTTGATAACGGTGTTAGTACCTACACCGAAACGTCGCACTCATTGCAATAAAGAAGTTGACTATCCATAGAAATCAGTATTCTTTCATCTTCACAACTTCTAAAATGCCTCTCAAAGCAACAACAAAGTGATAATAATAATTGTGATAACTCAGTTCTTTCAACTGCAGAAGAATATAACTGACTGAGTTTGGTTTTACGCCGCTTTTAGCAATATTCCAGCAACATCACGGCGGGGAACACCAGAAATGGGCTTCACACATTGTGCCCACAGAAGAATATAAAACCTAAAGTATTAGCAAAACACTTTATTTATAAGTATAGTATTTGACATTGAAGGCGTAATGGTTTGTAATCCTAGTTTCTGGCATTCAAATATATATAATCTCCCAAAAAAAGAAACGCATATAGTAATTTCAACTGTATTCTAATGTTTATTTTGAAACATCTTGTAGGCTTTATAAGTCATTAAAATATAGCGAAATTGCACACTGGGAATGCAGACTTATCCGTCTTTGGCAACAACTCGAGGAAAGTCAGTTTGAGTGTCACATGGAGACGTGTGGTGGCGCTGAAGTCAATACCTCGTGTGACCACCGTGGGCATCCAGAACTGCACGGCATTGCCTCGGCATCGAACGAATAAGTCTCAGAATATCGTGTTGCCCAATCGCAGCCCACTCTGCCTGTAGTGCCTGTGCGAGTTTCTGAAGTGTCTGGGGCTGAGGGTTACGGCGTCGCACCCGTCTGTCCAGGGCATCCCACAGATGTTCGATCGGGTATAAGTCCGGTGATCTTGAGGGCCAGGGGAGCACATTGATGTTGTGGTTCTGGAGAAAGTCTCTAGTATGACGTGCTGTGTGGGGCCTGGCATTGTCCTGTTGAAACAACACCCTCTGGCGATCAATGATTAGAAGGAGGTGTGGGCGTAGGATTTCGTCCCAGTACCGTTGAGCTGTCAGGTTGCCCTGGACCATCACCAAATCACTTCTCCTACGGCAGGTGATCGTTCCCCACATCATAACACTGCCCCGGCCGAATCTGTCCACCTGGGGAATGCAAGCGTCGGCGAAACGTTCACGTCGACGTCTGTACACCAGCATTATTCCAATAGAAATCGTGATTCATCACTGAACCAGATTCTACGCCCATTCGGTAGGTTCAAGGCCTGAACGTTGGTGCACCATTGAACTCGATGTCGACGATATTGTTGTCGAAGCACAGGGCCAAAATAAGGTCTTCTGGCACGTAAACCAGCCTCTCTCAACCTGTTCCTGACGGTCTGTGCAGAAAGCCTCCTATTTGTCGAGCGGTACTGGTCGCCGTAGCTGTTGGATGACGCAGGTGATGTACCCGGATGTAGCGATCCTGCGCCGCAGTGGTCGCCCACTACGAGGGGCATCTGCTATCGCATTCTGCTGGCGATATCTCTCCCAGAGCCGTGAAATGGTGCTTTGGTGAACATTCATGCGTCGGGCAACTGCACGTTGAGACTGGCCAGCTTCAAGCAAACCAATGGCGATATGACGGTTGGCTTCACTTAGACGTGGCATTTTGCGTTCGTCAACAATATTCGAATACAGTGAATAATCGACAGACAGCGATCAACCTTTTATACCCATCATTGAGACCCATCTGATCCCCAACTTTCACATGCAGTCACATGCATTTCACATGCGTATTCTGTGACACTACACGCCGAAATTGACAATCATGCTGTTAAATACGGGTATTTTACGGATGGTGCGTTTTGTTGTGAGGTTTCAAAACATCAACACCATAGGACTCATAAACAGAGCAAAACCTTTTGTAAAATGAATCACGTTTTAATTCATTGCTACATGAAATTGCTATTTTCACGATGCGTTTCTTTTTTGGGAGAGTATACAAACATTGGTAATTTCCGGTTTAAACTCTAAGTTGAAGAAAACCACCATAGGTTTTATTATTTAAATGAAATCATTATGAATCTAGTGCAGTAAATATACTGAAGTACAACATATGTCTCATGGCGTTTTCACAAATAACTTGCAAAATGAGATTCAAATGTCTAAACAAATGATAGGTCTAGAACCATGATTCTACATATGGAATCAATCAAATTGTAATAGGCTCAGAACATTGAATGTGTAACAGTCAAATAACTGTACGCGATCGCTGGGAGAACTTGTATTTGACGACGATCCGACAGAGCATGTGTTCAGTCATATCAAGGTTTTCCCCACAGATACTGATTTTGACTTTGCTAGTGACTTTTCAGAATGATGTTAACAATACTGTCCCTTTATATTTATTTGTTCATTTAGTCGTTCCATAGTTATCAATGACCAGATGCTGGACAGGGGGCGCTCCGTCGTCAGGGCGTGTTGTTGTCTCCCCTACTTTGGATTGGTTCAGGAACTTGCGCAATGTTGCTGTAAGATTTCCATTGTCATTCTGTTCAAAGCTACTGGAGTCTTCATCTCTCAAGTGGTGAATTTCGAGAAGATATCTGGTACTTCTATGATCTGTCTTATCCTCCGTCCCCATGGGTGGCTTCAGCCGTTTTGGTAGTATCCCTTCAATGAATATGACAATGGACAATCTCTGAAGCCACAAGAGATTGTTTGAATTCTTGACGCTTTCGCATGTGGTGGACATAATGGCGATGAGGATGTTGAGGAGGAATATCTGGATGACTATCACCGAAACAGCAAAAGCTACGACAGATCCCTTACTCGGATCTTCAAGTTGATCTAACTGTCCTTGACCAGTCATCAGACTGAACGTGGTTAGTAGGCTGACAGAGAAGTTACCAAACATCTCAGGACGAGTTTCCGCAAACGAGCTGTGCAATGCGCTTGTAAATCCTACTATCATTATGAAAATGATTGGTATAAATTTTACCATATCTCCAAAGAGGACCTTTTGTAACATCAGTGTTATGTAGCTCAAAGGCTTGATTCCACGCAGGAAGAAGGTTGTTGACCACCAACCAAGGATCAATGCTATTACCAGACAATAATTGTTTGTAACAGTGACAACATTCCACGACGCGTCTATCAGTAATGTTAAACCAAATAGCACAAAAATGCATCGGTACACTCCATTGTGATGCAGTTTTGTTAGATGGAAGGGTTGCCATGATATGAAAATCCTGTGTAACTCAAAAATGATATAGAGGAGACTTATGAGGATTGAGAAGATACTCAAACCCACCAAGGTTTGCTTCTGTGCCCTGTCTGGATCCATGATGGCGTCAACTTTGAGATCCAAATGCCAGGTTAGGATGCTCATTAGTGCCAGGTGAAGAACGACGAAAAGGTAGTAGACGCACGAGTACCGCTTCCACTTTTTGTATATCAAAGTGTAGACCGTGTAGTTGTTCAGAAACGCACAGGCTGTGGTTGACTCCAAACTGCAAATGTTTTCCAATATACTCTGGCTCGTATTTTGTCTCTGTTTCTTGCAATAGCTTACTATGCAACAGTCCTGCTTGCCTTTAGACAATCCTTCAGCTTTGTGTTCTATTTTCCTGTAGGCAGATGACTTCTGTAGAACGGCTCTATCCCAGGTTGCCTTATCAAGCTCTGTTATATCACATTCGTAGATATCAAAAACACCGTCGTGACTAGAGAAGAACTTGTATGCATTCTCCAGATCAAGGATGTGACTAAACACGTTTTCCAGACCGTGCTCAGCAGCAAGATGGAGTGCTGATAGCTTTTCCTCATTTTTTCGTTGTACATTTTCTCTGTACTTCGATTGACCGTGTTTTGCCAACTTGTCAAACATACTCAGAATAGCAGGCGCCTTTTCTGGGTAGTAAGATGCGTATACGACCAGCGAGTGAAAAACTGTATTCCCAGAACTGTCCGAGCCATTTAGATCAGCGTGATGTTTAAGAAGAAGGTCAACTGCAGTTTTATTATTACTCAAAGCAGCAATGGACAAAGGCGTCCCTCCTAACATAACAGTACCTCTCAATTTCTTTCCGGAAACTGTACATTCCATCGTCTCTTTAAGCATTTCATTACGTTCGAGTGTGTCAATCATGGCTTTCACTAGATCTTGCCCATCATCCGTGTCAGGATTTCTTGCCTTGGCTATGGCAATGTGGAAAGGCGTCTGTCCACGATAGTCCTCATCCTTTCTATCACAGTAGATTAAACTTGGATCATATTCAAATATTATCTTGGCAACTTCATTCCTCCGACAGCTGACGGCAATATGAAGCACAGACTCTCCGGAATCTGACTCTCGTAGTCTTTTAAGCTTTTTCTTCTCCCCTATCATCAAATCTATAGCTGCTTAGTCTGTCTCTGTTCTGAGTCCTTTCTTTGTTCCCCCCTCCAAGAACTTCCTTAAAGATTTAATCAAATGATCTTCCTCCACATTCTTGTCCATTAAATCGCAGACAAAGTTCAACATGAAATCTCTGCTCCTTCGTGACATCTTTCTCGTTTTAACCCTGAAAATAAACCAGAGAGAATAAATAGATCGTATAACGAATGCATTATTGTTACACATGTTTTAAACAATCTGTACCGTGAAGATCCGGGTTAGAATTGGGTCTTCAGCAGCCCATGCTTGTAGGAGGTCACAAACGGGATAGGGTGTCAGTGTATCCCAACTGATTTATGCTCATGATATTGATCACTGGATTGTCTGGTTCAGACAAAGGTATTAGGAGACTGAAGTCATTTCGGTGGAATATTGCTGAGTTCAACAATAAACAAAACTCAAACTCTAAAAGGCACATCTGCATGATATGGAGAGGCAGTATACCAAATTTGGTGAAGATGGGTGAGTTAGTTTCAGAATTTTGCTCCGGAAACGAACTCTACCCTTCAAAAAGGTAAAGTCCAAATTGTTGCCATGGAAACAGAAAAAAGAAAATTGAAAAATCCGCATAAGGCACATGTACATGATATGGAGAGGCAGTAACAATGGGAACACCGACGCCGACGGAAACTCAACCAAAAACAATATGTCTCCTCACCCTTCAGGGGGAGAAATAAAAAATGAAATCACAAATAAATGGGTCTGTCTGAGATGAACATGTATAACTGTAACTAACCATCAGACATTTATGATAACTGAGGCACGGGTTTAGAACTGTTGCTGTCTTTATAGACACTAAAGAAAATCGTTCAATCATTCAAAATATTCATATATAATATCATAGGAAACTTCCATGGTCTCCATTAATAGGGCAGGATGATTTTATCGGGTATTGATTTTTATCAGAACCAGACATCGTGCAGTCACAACCAGTAATGATAGAATAACATACAATAACTCAAGGTCAGAACCAGACATCGTGCAGTCACAACTTCCAGTAATGATACAATACCATACAAGAACTCAAGGTCAGAACCAGCCATCGTGAAGTCACAACTTCCAGTAATGATACAATACCATACAACAACTCATGGTCAGAACCAGACATCGTGCAGTCACAACTTTCAGTAATGATACAATACCATACAAGAACTCAAGGTCAGAACCAGACATGGTGCAGTCACAACTTCCAGTAATGATACAATGCCATACAAGAACTCAAGGTCAGAACCAGACATCGTGCAGTCACAACTTTCAGTAATGATACAATACCATACAAGAACTCAAGGTCAGAACCAGACATCGTGCAGTCACAACTTCCAGTAATGATACAATGCCATACAAGAACTCAAGGTCAGAACCAGACATCGTGCAGTCACAACTTCCAGTAATGATACAATACCATACAAGAACTCAAGGTCAGAACCAGACATCGTGCAGTCACAACTTCCAGATACAATGATACAAGAACTCAACCATACAAGAACTCAAGGTCAGAAGAACCAGAACATCGTGCAGTCACAACTTCCAGTAATGATACAATACCATACAAGAACTCAAGGTCAGAACCAGACATCGTGCAGTCACAACTTCCAGTAATGATACAATACCATACAAGAACTCAAGGTCAGAACCAGACATCGTGCAGTCACAACTTCCAGTAATGATACAATACCATACAAGAACTCAAGGTCAGAACCAGACATCGTGCAGTCACAACTTCCAGTAATGATACAATACCATACAAGAACTCAAGGTCAGAACCAGACATCGTGCAGTCACAACTTCCAGTAATGATACAATACCATACAAGAACTCAAGGTCAGAACCAGACATCGTGCAGTCACAACTTCCAGTAATGATACAATACCATACAAGAACTCAAGGTCAGAATCAGACATCGTGCAGTCACAACTTCCAGTAATGATACAATGCCATACAAGAACTCAAGGTCAGAACCAGACATCGTGCAGTCACAACTTCCAGTAATGATACAATACCATACAAATACCAAGCTGATGCTAAGTTGAAATTTCAAGATACATAAACTAATGTCCAAACGACATTGTCACGTGTTTGAAAGGACATTAAAAGAAAAACAAAACGATACAGACATTTTAGTTTGGTATATATTTCATTCAATAAATTGTTCAATAACACATGTAACAAAATTCATTTCAATTAGGACACGCCTGTAAAGACAAGAGGGTCCGAAATGAAAATTTCATTCAAAGACACATGGCATGGCAAGTGCGGAAAATGTCAAACGTTGCCATTCAGCAAACACGCATTCTTCCAAATCAGATAGATTGCCTGGAGGCACAGGGTGATTTCTGAGTTACACGCACACGCACACGCACACGCTCTCTCTCTCTCTCTCTCTCTCTCTCTCTCTCTCTCTCTCTCTCTCTCTCTCTCTCTCTCTCTCTCTCTCTCTCTCTCTCTCTCTCTCTCTCTCTCTCTCTCTCTCTCTCTCTCTCTCTCTCTCTCTCTCTCTCTCTCTCTCTCTCTCTCTCTCTCTCTCTCTCTCTCTCTCTCTCTCTCTCTCTCTCTCGTGGCATTTCTTTTGCGTGCTTTTTGTTGCTGTGATCCCAACATGTCCAGTCAGCAGTTTTATACAGAACAGTAAGTACATTTTTACTTAATTAAAAAATGTATTGAAAAAATGTTTCTTTGGGACATTATTTTAATAAGTTTCAATTTCAAGAAAATCATTTTGAAATTTTAAAGTAAAAGTTTTAATTTCAAGTTAATATCAATGAAATTTCAGCTGTGTATCTTGAAATTTCAAGAAATAATTACAAAACGAATGGCCATTAAAAGTTTCCGTAGTTTTCGTAAAAACTGAGTGGTGCTTGTATAATGCCCATGTGCATAAAATGGGATAAGTGGTTAATTGCGAAATTGAAACGTCATTAAAATGATCAACGCAGAGTTAGAGATAGTCGAAACAAATACTTCAAGATATTTCACTAACACGGGAGGTGTCCCATGTGGTATGGAGGAAGAGAAATAAACGTTAATCAGGCCAATCAACGGGTTAACAGTACGGGTTCGCTTGTTTGCACAGTAATATTCCACTTATATGACGATAGTCTGTAAAAATCGAAACTGGACTAAACAATCTGGTGACTAACATCATGAGCGTTCATACGATATCATTCGTCATCTATATCACCCAGCCTGACCAACTAATCCCGCTAGTCGCATCTTTCGATACACACGGGTTAGTGAAGATCAATGCTTACTCGGATCGTCACATAGATGCAAGATGTATTTTAAAACGTAAAGATGCACGTAAGTCTCATTCAAAATCAGATCCGGGTTAGAATTGCTCTTCAGTAACCCATGCTTGTCGTAAGAGGCGACTAACGGAATCGGGTGGTGAGGCTTGCTGACTTGGGTGACATGTGTCATCGGTTCCCAATTGCGCAGATCGATGCTCATGCTGTTGATCACTCGATTATTTACAGACCGCCGCCATATAGCTTGAATATTGCTGAGTGCAGCATAAAACTAAACTCAATCACTCATTTAAAATAAGTAGTGACACTTGTTCAATATTAAACAATGTCCTGGCTGTAATGCTTCAAGTTTGCACAGATGACCTAGTCAATCTTAGTCGGCATAAAACATTATTTGTACAGGATCTCATTTTCAGTGCTACACTATCTTTTAAGCAGCAAGTTGAAAAATGTGACACCGAGCTCCTGCCGGCTGGTACATGAATAATTTCCATAAACAGTAAAGATATTTTAGCTCTGTTTCATAAGAGTACAGTGTCACATTAGATGAAATGAATGTCCGGTGCTCGTTCAAACAAAACCTTGTCACGCAAGGAAGAAGAAAATACCTCTAAGGGCAATAAAGCCTTCTATACCTCCCAGCGCTCTACATGGTACCATACGCTATAGCCTTCTATACCTCCCACCGCTCTGCATGGTACCAAACGTTATAGCCTTCTATACCTCCCACCGCTCTGCATGGTACCAAACGTTATAGCCTTCTATACCTCCCACGGCTCTGCATGGTACCATACGTTAAAGCCGTCTATACCTCCCACCACTCTGCATGGTGCCATACGCTATAGCCTTCTATACCTCCCACCGCTCTGCATGGTACCATACGTTATACCATTCCATACCTCCCAACACCCTGCACGGTACCACACGTTATAGCCTTCTATACCTCCACCACTCTGCATTGTACCAAACGTGATAGCCTTCTATACCTCCGCACGCTCTGCATGGTACCATACGTTATACCATTCTATACCTCCAACACCATGCACGGTAGTTCCATACACGTGATAGCCTTCTATACCTCACCACCGGTCTGCATGGTACCATCCGTTATATCCTTCTATACCTCACCGCTCTGCATGGTACCATACGTTATAGCCTTCGTGGTATCACTCCCACCGTTCTGCATGGTACCATACGTTAAAGCCTTCTATACCTACCACCGCTCTGCATGGTACCATACGTTATAGTCTTCTATACCTCCAACCGCACTGCATGGTACCATACGTTATAGCCTTTTATACCTCCGAACCGCTCTGCATGGTACAATACGTTATCGCCTTCTATGCCTCCCACCCGTCTGCATGGTACCATGCATTATACCATTCTATACCTCCCAACACCCTGCATGGTACCACAGGTTATAGCCTTCTATACCTCCCATCACTTTGCATGGTACCATACGTGATAGCCTTCTATACCTCCCACCGCTCTGCATGGTACCATACGTTATAGCCTTCTCTACCTCACACCGCTCTGCATGGTACCATACGTTATAGCCTTCTATACCTTACACCACTCTGCATGGTAAGTAGTGAACAACGTCTCCCTGGCGTCTTTTTCAAGATGGCGGCACATCCGGTCCCCATGGGCGCCGCCATCTTGGATCAAGATGGCGACGCCCACGGTGACCGGATGTACCGCCATCAG